CTAGGTACTAGTTATATTCAGTGCTAAACTAAATTATCCTTGTCCCTGCCCTTGGTAGATTATCATTCATTGGGATAGAGAGATTTTAAATAAAGGAGTCAAGAAATAATATGTATAATTGCAAAATATGGTCAGTGCCAGAAAAGAAATAAACAGAATGCTAAAGACCATAAAGAATCTCCTGGGTATGATAATTAAGTGGTCATTGGTAGCCTTGGCACTGGCAGTGTTGATGGAATAAAAGAAGCAGCAGAAGCCAAATTGCCTTGAGTTGAGAAATAAATATGAGGGAAGGAGATGAGAGAAGCAATAAGCAATACAGGCAACTCTCTTGAGAAGCTTGACTACGACAAATAAAAGGGCAGTAGCAAAAGAAAAGAGAAACCAAGGGAAGGATTTGGGGTTTTCTGTTTTAGTTTTTTAAGATGTGAGAGGATAGAGCACATTTATAGACTAAGGGGAAGGAAGTAGTAGAAAAAATGGCTGTAAATATAGAGCATAAAAGTGAGAATTATTTAAAAGATGGTGTTAGCTAAAATTAATATAAAATATTAACGTAATATATTTCAGGAGGATTCAAATGAGCTAAAGAGACACTACAGGAGTTCCACAAAATTTCAGGTTGGTGAGTTTAAAACAACTTCAAAATTGTTCAAATAATCCATTACCAATTTGACTTTAAGTTCCATCTATCCATTTCTATAGGCAAATCCTCTTTCTCTCAGGATCATAGAGTCATAACAAAGTTCATACAGATGAAGTTTTATGAGACAAAAGAAGGTCCAAAGTTTTTTCATTTCTCAATAATTACATGATAAAGTTATATGTGCAAATGTATAATTCAACATATGGGTCTAGATTAAGCAGAGCAAAATTATTTATTACCTACACATGACACATAACAAAAAACAAAACAAACACTTAAATTTTACTTAAAAGCCATTTGTTCTGTAGTGTTCATAGAGAATTCTAACCTCTAATCCATGTAGCATGATGATATAGAAATCTGTAAAATTCTTTCTACTTTCTTATCCATAGAAACTAAATAAAATATAGGAAAACAGCAGTTACTCAGACGAAATGGTGTCTTTCTCTCCTCAACTAATAACATAATACTGTTCTTATAGCCCCTAGTTGTTTATAAGGTACTTATTTATCTTTAATTTTGTCCTTATAACTGTGAAAGCAGCAGAGGTGAGAGTTACCCAATGTTACCCAATATGTATCAATGAACATGAGCCTTCCATTTTAAAGACAATACTTTCATGCTTTAAATTTTGTCAAAAAAAACATAAATCTGGATTTAGGTCCCAAACTGTCCCAATTGGCAATCTACAATGATTAAAATACCTTTCAGCTTTTTAAATCTCCAATTTATTTTCTTTGTAAAAATTTGCCAGTAATTAATATTTATAAAAGATCAAAACTACTTTGATGAACTCTACAAAGAGGATGAATATTCTTTGTAAATGCCACAAAGCTTATTCCAAACTCATAATTACATTCCTGAGTTTAGTAAAGGCTAAATTCCTATATTTGATTTTTGTTTATAAGTGTAAAATTTTACATTTATTCACCTACATCACACCTTCTTTTGAATCCCTTTAATGCCTTCTACCTGTCTTAAGATATTTATTTTATAGTTGTTATTTTTGTGCTTCATTATCTATTAGATTGTAAACTTCTTGTGGACAGAAAGTATCTTACTCCCATTCCAACACCATTGTCCTTTGCAAGTACCTTGTACAGTGTTAGTCAATATTTACTTAATTCAATTTTCTACAATTAGGTGAGAAATAAATCATATCTAGCAATGTGTTGATTTCAAACATGGCTGAAGACTCTTTGCATTAAGAACTCAGGTGGTGAGCAAGGAAAAAGAATGTTATAATCTGAGGCAGTAAATATGGATTCTAGTGTAGTACTAGACCAGTGAACAGCTCTCTGCTCCACCTTCTTACCTGTAACTGCTCTATACACCTCTCAACTTCTTGTAAAGATTGGTATCTGTAGGGCAACAGCAATGACGTTTTACTATATGATCCAATACTTTAAAGAAATAATTTGTTCATAATAGCTAATCTGGTTAATTTAAACTAAAAGTTCCCTTTCTCTTCAATAGCTTTAAACTTCTATTACACATTTAATTATTTCAACTCTCTATTTTATATGTTTGGCTTTACACAAAGTTCATAATTGCTGTTAATTGTCTTAAAATATCATAATTTTTTAAAATATGCTTTATTTCTCAACTATATTTAAAAATGCATTATTTTGTCTTACATAAAGAATTTTTATTGTTATTGCAATTAGGAAAATACATAATTGTGATGTCATTTTACAAGTACCATCATAACAGAAGGCTGGAATAATTTACATATGGAGAGACAAAATTGATATATAATTTTAGCTATAATAATACTTTCAATATCTTCTCCCATTGGAGCTGTTAATTAATTGTAAAATGAACCAGTTTCATTACTTTCATCTCTGTTAGCCTGTACAGTCTCTAATAGATACTTTTACAGCAGTTTACTTATACCAAAATGGTCCAAAAGTAAACAGCAGTAGGGAGAATTAAGGAGTGCAGATGAACCATCAACAATATAATCAGCTCTGAGCACTGGGAAAATTATCTGAAACATAATATATATCACTGCAATGACTGTACAAAGGTTTCTAATAAAATCAAGGATGGACTTGATTTTCAGTCCAAGAGCCTCATGTTTGAAACACTCTTAAAATGTATTCTAACATTAGCAGCCATGCTGTCACTGAAGTTATGTGACTACTCCACAAAAATTCCAGCAAATGCAATGCTTAAGGAAATAATGCAAATACACTGGAAATAAGCTACAGTGTTTGTTGTTGTTAGCTGTCACCTAATCCACTCCTATTCTTGGCACCTTCATGTAGAATTGACCTAAAATTGCCCAGTCCCATGTCATCTTCAGGACCTTCGATGCCCATTGTTGAGACTACTGGCCAACCCATCTAATTGAAGGTTTCTGTCATTACGTTGAGACTACAATCATGCTCTTGTTTTTGTGGTGCTAATATACCTTTCAGTGGTACCATAAATACTTAGCTGAATACAATTTTGGATTAATCAGCAAATAATAATTCATAGTGACAGATCAGTTTTTACATACATCAGGATAAGTCCATCCATGTCCATAAAAGCACATAAACACAACTAATTGCCAAATGTGCTCTTTCAACAGTTGGATCTCGTATCAGTAATACCATTTGATGTATTCTACCTCTTCTTTGGGTTTAATCCAATATTTAGAGCAAATAGGATATTAAAGGTAAGATAGTTACATTTAACTGTTTTTTCTTATAATAATAGAAGTCTTGGAGTGATTTAAACTATCCTAAAGTTACCAGTATTCTTAATTTTTCTAAACTGTCCTCCAATTCTCTCCTCTTATCAATGCTGTGAATTCTAAAGAAAAAAAAAAACTGAAGAAAAAAATGTCACTATTTCCACTGATAGGCATTGGTACTAGTTGTTTTTGTACTATATCTCATGACCAGTGTTTTCATAAACAAGGATAGAAATGATTTTGTACCACTATACAGTTATCATTTCAAATTAATCTGTCATAATTTTGACTTTTCTTTCTCATTTTTCCTTCTAATCACACAGTTACTGAATGCTTGGAATTTTGGCTTTAAAATGAGGAAGTTAGATTAGATGACATCTAAGTTAATTTATTTATCTGAAATTCAATCATTCTATGAAAATGCAAACACTGCTCCATCGAAAAAATATTTACCCTCCTGAATAAAACCTAAATGTTCATCCAAAGTTTGCTATTTCATAAAATCATTAGTAATAACAGTAATAGCAATAAAATCTTATATTTCCAAAGACAACCTCCTGAAAAGAATACTAAAGATGCTATAAAGTTTAGGTGGTTATCCATTTTACAATCTTGGGAAGACAAGACCGTGTAGCCTGGTGACATTGGTAAATCCTGATGACAACCACAACAATAATGGCAACAACAAAACCAAACCCAAATCCACTGCCAGAGTCAATTGCAACTCATAGCAACCCCCGTTGGGTTTCCAAGGCTGTAAATCTTTACAGAAGTAGATTGCTCCATCTTCCTCCCATGCAGTAGTTGGTGTGTTTGAACTGTTGACTTTCTGGTCAGCAGACAAATGTCTTACCCACTACTCTACCAGATTTCTCATATAATTGACTCTGACTCACAACAACCTAATGTGTGCCAGAGTAGAAATGTGCTCCATAGAGTTTTCAATGACTTTTGGAATAGATTGCCAAGCTTTTCTTCCTAGGAGCTTCTGAATGGACTGGAGCCTCCAACCTTTCAATTAGCAACTGAGCATGTTAACTGTCTGCACCACCAAGGAACACTCACAACAGTAGCAACAGTTACCAATTACTGAATACACATTTAGCATTCCATACATTGCTAAAACTTCAGATGAGCAATTTCATTTATTCCAACCAACAACTTCATTTTATAGATGAAGAAACAGAAATAACAAGGTAGAAAAAATCCATCCAGCCTCACATTGCTGGTGAGTGACAGTATCTGCATTCTAATGCATGTTTATCTGACTCCAAATTTTTTACTATCATCAATCTGACAGATAAACATCAGACTGAAAGGGCTTTCCTTCCAAGCTTATGATTTTTTCAAATCAAGGGGGATCTTACCCTTATGCCCAGATGTCTAAGCAACTCTGAAGACTTCTGGTTTGACTATGAAATGGGGTCTAGATTAGGGCAGAGCATAATATTCCAAGTAGTTTAGTGGTTAGTCCCTCCCCCATCAAATTTCTAGACTCACATGGAAATTTTCAGGAGATCCCTATTCAGAGATAGGAAATGTTGATAAATACACAGGTAGTATTTGGAAGTCTGTCTGACATTATAATAAAATTTTGCAAAATGCCAACTACTCACACACTCATTTCTATATTCTTACAGTGTGACATTATAATAATTTGTAAAATTCTGACTATTCACACCACCATTTCTATATCCCACTCATCTGTCAGTTTCTCTTATTGTTGTGGCTTACACGTTGGCGTGATGCTGGAAGCTATTCTGCCAGTATTTCAAGTACTAGCAGGGACATCCATAGTGGACAGTTTTCAATGGAGCTTCCAGACTAAGACAGACTGCTGTCTACTGGTGATCTACTTCTAAAAAAAAAAAAAAAAAGAATGGTCACTGAAAGCTTTACAAATAGCAGCAGAACACAGTCTGATTTAATGCCAGAAGATGAGCCCCTCAGGTTGTAAAACACTCAAAATATGGCTGGAGAAGAGCTGCATCCTCCAAGTGTAATCAGCCTTAAAGATAGGGATGGAGTAAATCTTTCAGGACCTCCATTCACTGATGTGACACCACTCAAATAAGAAGAAACAGTTGCAAACAACCATTAATAATCAGAACATGTAATGTACAAAGTATGAATCTAGGAAAATTGGAAGTTGTCAAAAATAAAACAGGGCTCTTGAAGATAAATATTCTCAGCAGCAGTGAGCAGAAATGAACTGGTATTAAATGTTTTTGAAACAGAAAATCATATAGCCTACTCTACTGGGAATGACAAACTGAAAAGGAATAGTGTCACATTCATTGTCAAAAATAACATTTCAAAATCAACTTCAGTGATAAGATAATAGCCATATGTGTCCAAGGAAGACCAGTTAATATGACTATTGAAATTTACGCACCAACCGCTAATGCCAAAGATGAATATTCAAGCTTTTACCGACTTCTGAAGTTTGAAAATGATCAAACATGCAATTACGATACCTTGATTATTACTGGTGATTACAAAGTAAAAGTTGGAAACAAAGAAGGATCAGTAGATGTGAAATATAGCCTTGGTGACAGAAACAATGCCAGAGATCTCATGATAAAATTTTGCAAGGTCAATGACTTATTCATAGCAAATACCTTTTTTCAACAACATAAATGGCAACTACACATATGGATCTCACCACATGGTATACATAGGAATCAAATTGACAACATCAGTGGGAAGAAATGATAAAGAAACTCAATGTTATCCATCAGAACAATGCCAAGGGCTGACTTAAAACAGACTATCAATTGCTCATATACAAGTTTACAATGAAGTTGCAGAAGATTTTAAAAAGTCCACAAGAGCAAAAATACAATCTTGAGTATACACCGCTTGAATTTAGAAACCATCTCAAGAATAGATTTGATGCAATGAACACTAATGACCAAAGACAAGACAAGTTGTGGGATGACATCAAGGACATCATACATGAAGAAAGCAAAAGGTCATTAAAAGGAAGAAAGCGACAAAATGGATGTCAAAAGAGACTCTGAAACTAATGAATGTAGTGTAGCTAAAGAGAGCAGAAGTAATGATGAAGTAAAAGAACTGAACAGAAGATTTCAAAGGCCAGCACAAGAAAACAAAGTAAAGTATTATAATGAAATGTGCATAGACCTGGAGGTAGAAAACCAAATGGGAAACTAGGCATTTCTCAAGCTGAAGGAAAAAATGCAGCCTCAATTTGCAATATTAAAAGATTCTACAGGCAAAATAATAATAATAATAATTGAACTACACAGAAAGTATCAGAAGAAGATGGAAGGAATGTACAGAATCACTGTACTAAAAAGAACTCGGCAATGTTCAGCCATTTCAGGAGGTAGGGTATGATCAAGAACCAATGGTATTAACAGGAGAATCTAAGTTTCACTGAGGCATTGGCAAAAATCAAGACTACATGGAAATAACAATTGAAATATTTCTTAAAAAGGATGCAATGCTGGAAGCATTCACTCATCTATTCCAAGAAATTTGGAAGACAGCTACCTGACCAACTGACTGGAAAAGATCCATATGAGTAACCCATTCCAGAGAAAAATGATTCAACAGAATGCAGAAATTATCAACCAATATCATTAATATCACATTCAAATAATATTATGCTGAGGATAATTCAAAAACAGTTGCAGCAGTACATCTACTGGGAACTATCAGAAATTCAAGTCAGATTCAGAAGAGGACATGGAATGAAGGATATAATTTTTTATATCAGACGGGGCTGGGCTAAAAGCAGAGAATACCAGAAGTATGTTTGCCTGTGTTTTGTTGACTACACAAAGGCATTCGACTGTGTGGGCTATCATAACAAATCATGTATAACATTGTGAAGACTGGGAATTCCAGAACACTTAATTGTGTACATGAGGAGGCTATACATAGACCAAGAGGCAGTAATTCAAACAGAATAAGGGGACACTGTGGTTTAAAATCAGGAAAGGTTTGGGTCAAGGTTGTATTCTTTCACTATACTTGTTCAATCTGTATGCCTCATAAATAATCCAAGAAGGCAGATTATATGAAGAAGAACACAGCGTCAAGATTGCAGGAAGACTCAGGAACATCTGTCATATGCAGATGACACATCCTTACACACTGAAGTGAGGAAGAATTGAAGCACTTACTGATGAAGAACAAACACTACGGCCTTCGATATGGATTACACCACAACATGAAGAGAAGGAAACTCTCACAACTGGACTAATAAATAACATCATGAAAAATGGAGAAAATAATGCAGTTACCATTGATTTCATTTTACTTGAATTCACAATCAACGCCCGTGGAAGCAGCAGTCAAGAAATAAAAAGACTTGAGGATGAGAAAGACAGAGAGAGTTACATGGGCAGTACAAACAACAAATATGAACCCCTTTGTAAATACAATACTGAGTTGTCAATGAAAGCAAACATGGGTATAGGGACGGATAGATGGGTGAACAAGCTAAACAATTATGTATGTCTAAATGGAGAGTGTATCCAAGATCATATACAGGGTTGGCAGACAATGGGCCTCTCAAAGAGTATGAAGGGATGGACACTGGGAGGAGGTAACTATGGGGAGGAAGTGGGAGGGGAGCTGCTGCATTGTAAATTTTGGTCAATGACATGAGACAAAGTATATGTGAACTGCTGTATGAAAAGTGAATTTACTCTGTAAATCTTCACCCAAATCCTAATAAAAAAAAAAAAAAAAAGAAAAAAAAAAAAAAAGAAATAAAAAGACATTGTATTGGGCAAGTCTGTTGCAAAAGACCTCTTAATGTTTTAAAAAGCAAAGATGACACTTTGAGGATTAATGTGTGCCTGAGCCAAGCCATGGTATTTTCAATTGCCTCATGTGTATGCAAAAGTTGGACAATAGATAAGGAAGAAGAATTGATGCATTTGAATTACTGCATTGGCAAAGAATATTGAATATACCATGGTCTGCCAGAGAAGGAACAAATCTGTCTTGGAAGAAGTACAGCCAGAACATACTTTAGAAGGGAGATGGTGAGACTGTCTCACGTACTTTGGACATGTTATCAGAAAGGACTAGTGCCTGGAAAAGGACACATCATGACTGGTAAAGTAGAAAGTCAGCAAAATAAAAGAACAACCCTCAGTGAAATAGGTAGACAAGTGGCTGCAACCATCAGTTCCAACATGGCAACAACAGTGAGGATGGCACAGGACTAGGCAGTGTTTTCTTCCTTTATACATAGGGTCGCTTTGAGTCAGAACCAAATTGACAGCACCTAACAATAATTACAACATGGTGTTCAAAGGAGTTCCTGAGTATTGCAAGTGACCAATGAAACTTGGCTGCTGACCAAAAGGTTAGAAGTTTGAGTACACCCTTTCAGCAGAAAGGCCTGGTGATCTCCTTCCAAAAAATCAGCCATTGAAAAGTCAATGAGCATGGTTCTACTCTGACACACATGGGGTAGCCATGAGTTGGAATCATAGAGTAGCCATGAGTTGGCAACTGTTTTTTTTTTTTTTCACATAAAGGTGTACAAAATATATATATAGCCTGTATTTTTCTTAAAATATAGAATATTTTACAACTTAATATTGATCTTCTTTCTATAACCTCTAAGTCATTTTATGTATGGGGGGAGTGATCATTTTAATACACAGTTCTCTAGGAAAAACATGTATCATTTATGGAAAGCAAGTTACAAGGAGATTAAATGACTTTTCCAAGGTCACTCGGTTAGTAAATGACAAAGGCAGGATTACTACCTGGCTTTGGATCTCAACTTAAATTAAATTACTAAAGTATATATCACTAAATTATACTGTTCATACCATGAAAGAGGAAGTGGGAGGTGGGAGTATAAGTAGGGAGTAAGAGTACAGACAGTAGTAGAAGTGGACAGGAAGAGACCTTTAGAAAAACAGCAACTCTGTTTTAATGACTGCATATAGACTCATATGTTTGAACAATGTGAAAAATAGCTAACCAATGTTAATACTTACTGGGCCTTAAACTGTGTTGAAATAAATATACATTTAATGCAAATTGCTTAAAATAAATGCTAACGTACAGCAACAAGGCTTAACACCTATTTATGGCTTCAGTGTACTATATGATACTTCTTCTGCTTTACTTTTGTTTTGGGGAGTCTGATTTCAATCATTATAAAATAAAGTTCTACTGCATGTTTTAAAAAAATGTTTTTAAATCTGATCTTCAATCAGCATTACAAACAAGACTGTAACTAGAGTGTAGAAATAAAATAAAACAGAAGGTTTAAACAAATAAAGCAAGAATTGCCATCTTGTTGAATCCAGCTCACAGCAAAGCTAAGCTAAAATGAAAGGCCCAGAGGAAAATACCACTAAGCAGGCCCTAGACTTAAAAAAAAAAAAGATATAAATGAAATTATTCTCAATAGCAAATAAGATTTACTTTATATAGTGTTATTTAAATAAGACTAATGCATTTGTGATTTCTTTTGCTTGTGATTTCTTTCTATATAGTATACCTCATTTTTTGAGTTTAATCACCACCTAGAGTCTATAATGGACAAGGCATACATCTACAGGTAAAGTATAACTCATTTTAATGGGAGCTGCAAAGGAAAGAAGCAAGGGTCCAGCATTTTTAGACAGCATTTGGGAGGAATATGGCCACCTCTTTAAGAAAAATGGACAATTTGGGGACTTTGGGCTATATGAAACACAGGGTTATGTTCTAAGACTGATTTGGATACTTTATTTTTAATAATAGTTTATTGTGTTTTCACTGAAGGTTTACTCAGCAGTTTAGGTTCCCATTTAGCAATCTCTGCACAAATTGTTCAGTGGCATTGGTTACATTCTTCACGGTGCATGAACATTCTCATCATTTCCATTCTGGTTGTTCTATTTCCATTGATCTATTTTCCCTAGCATCTTACCTTCTCTTGTTTTAAAGTCATTGTTGACCACTTGGTCGCAGGGGTGATATTTTGAAGAAGCATGGTACTTATGGGTGACATCCATTATTTTGTGAGTAAATCTGTGTTTAGCTACAAGATGGCCTTGAGGGTCAGCTTTGGTTCAAGGTCTGAAGAGTATCTCAGGGCAATAGTATCAGGGAGTCCTCCACTCTCAGGCAGTGCAGTAAATCTACTTTTGTTTTGGTTTTGGGGTTTTGTTTTTGTTTTTAGGAACTGAAGTTCTGTTCCACATTTTTCTCCCCTTCTGTCAGAGTCCATCTATTTTGGCCCTGATTAAAACTGCTGTAGTGGTAGCCAGGCATCATCTAGTGCTTCTGGTCTCAGGTATATGAAGTCATGGTTCATGTAGACTATTTGTCCTGTAGACAAGTTTCTTATTTGAGACTTTGGTTTCCTTCTTTCTCTTTTGCTCTGGACAAGTAGAAATCAATAGTTGTATGTTTGGATACTTTTTAACTGAGATAAAAGTATAAGAATCATATTAGAATTAGATGGCTATAGAACTAAAATAATGATGATAATAATAGGACTCATTGTCTGCTTCAGTCAGAGCAAGCAGGGAAACATGTCCTTTTGCAAGCTGACTTTACATCTCTTTCATCACAATTCATCCCTAATCTGAAGCTCACTCATTTGCTGTTCTGAACTTCACTTGCACAGAGACCTATAGTCATGGTTAATAGCAGCATAATGCCCATGAGCTTTCCAGAGATACCCATTTAAATCAGTGTGGCATATTTTATGGAACTCAGACTGAAGAGGTGACCCTTGAGGCCATGTCTTTCACAGAGTTGACTCATACCATTTGTGAAAAGATATTTCTTCTTTGTTTTTTTACACTCTGTCAGTCCCAGTCAAGACACTGTAGTCAGAAAACATGCAATGACACCATCATTTTATACAGTAGTAACGAGAGCTAACAATTCTCAAATCTAAAGCAAGGGGATTCAATGGAGACCTTAAGGAAAAGAACATGTTAAAATAGGGGCATTCTAGGAATAACATGAGTCCTTACTTTGCCTTTATTATCTTTGACAGAGTCATTCGAACAACTGGATACTTGCTGTTTACTCTGCATATTAATGCCTGTATTTATTACTGGGCTTCAAACTATGAAGGAATTGGCACTACTAAATGGGTGTATAGTGGTCAAGGAAACAAGTAAGTTCTAATTTAAAAAAAAAAAAACTTTTGTTGATTCTTCTTAACTTTCTTTTTCAGTATAAGTGTTTCCTTAAGCCAGTGTTTTCAAAAACAATCCATTGTTTTATACTGTCAAGTCAATTCCAACTCATTTCCCATAGACTTTCCTAGGCTATGATCTTTACGAAAGCAGACAACCGCATCCTTCTCCCACAGAGCATCTGATGAGTTTGAGCTGCTGACTTTTCTGTTAGCAACCACATGTTGAACCACTGTGCCATAAGGGCTCCTGCACAACTCTTTAAACCAACCACAAAAAAAAAAAAACCTTGCTGTTGAGTCAAATTCCGACTCATAGCAACCCTGTAGGGCAGAGTAAAACTGCCCCATTGGGTTTCCTAAGCTGTAAATCTTTACGGAAGCAGACTACTTCTTTCTCTGGCAGAGTGGCTGGCAAGTTCAAACTGCAGACTTTTTGGTTAGCAGGTGAGGACTTAACCACTGTGCCACCAGGGTACCTTTGCAACCCATTAGTGGGTAGTAAAAACTTTTTAGTAAGTCAGTATGTTTTTCAATGAAAGAAGGTAGAGTAGAGTAGAATAGAAAATATCAAAGCTCATCTTACACAGTACTAGTAAGTATTGTTTCATGAAACAGTTGTTTCAGGAGTGTATATGTGTGTATGTTTGTGTGTATATGTGTCCCAGATTGACCTATGAAGCAAATGTCTCACTCTAGGCATCATCAAAAAAGTTTGAAAGTCTCTACTTTACACAGCTGAGTGGTAAGGTAACATTTAATAACTCCAATGCTGATTGTTAGTAATGAACAATGTTAATTATTTAGAAGGCAGGTGCAGTGGCTAATTAGCTTACCACTGAAGGGTTTTATAGGTTTATGACTCAGCTATAACCACTAACTCAATTAAACACTTAGAGAGTAACAAGGATCATAAATTAAAGTTGACAATTAGGTATGCAGCATCCCAGGGATAAAAGAGATCATTTGAAAAATTTATGCAGTAGAATCAGGACTCAATAATGGCAAGAATCCACTGGGTTATTTAATAAATTTTCTTTTGGTAGATACAAAAGCTTAGCATAAACTAGACTTCACTAACTCTATAGCAATTAAATGACACTGAGCATATTATAAGGCAATGTCCTTCCTGGAAAAGAGGGTGTACTGGCATTACTTTGAAGGGCAACTTAGAGCAGTCTTGGGAAAGAGAGCAATTACAGGACAGAGCAAAGAGAATTAAAATACTTTACAAAATTACACACTACCTAGAGTGAGTCAGATATGTGTGAGAGATCACAGCAACATTTTTGGAATTTTAACCAGAACTGATTTTAAAGTCAAAAAGATGTGGGGAAAATGAAAATCTCTTCCTGGAAAGTTTGTATCCAAACCTATAAATAATTCCCTTTAGGATGTGGATTCATTTAATTAAAGTATTATTTGGTTGGATATAAATATCTAATTTAGACAGAAAACTGAGTAAGATACCAACTATATTAAATATTGCCTAAAAGTTAGTGTGTAATCCAACCTCATTAGGTGCCTGTGTCTATTTAATCTCCGAATCCAGAGACATAGTCATATTTATCAGAATAGCAAATTTATAGTGGGTGCACAATATTTTCCAGAAAAAGTGGGCTTTTTATCTTTTCACACTGGATGCCTCTTTGCAGTTTCTAAGGAAATATCTTATTCCCAAGCCTAGCACATTGCTAAATACATGTTGTTGTGTGCCAGCTAGTACATTTTCCACTCATAGTGACTCATGTGACAGAGTGGAACTGCATCATAGGGTTCTCCAGGCTGTAATCTTTATGGGAAAGGATTTTCAGATTTTTCTCCTGTGGAGCTGCTGGGTGGGTTCAAATACTTAATCTTTCAGTTAGCAGATGAGCAATTTACCATTGTGCCACCAAAAAAAAAAAAAAAAACCACTGCCATTAAGTCAATTCCAACTCATAATGACCCCCACTGGGTTTCCAAAGCAGTAAATCTTTATGGAAGTAATTTGCCTCATAGTCCTTCCTCACAGCCACAGTGGGTTTGAACCACCAACCTTCTGGTTAGCAATCAAATGCCTTAGGCATTGCACCACCAGAGTTCTTTCATTATGCCACCAGGGCTCTTTAAATAGGCAGATAGATGTAGATCTAATAGACCGTCAATATACGTTTTGTGTTTGAGGAAGGCAGGACAAAAGACAAGGAGAGAGATAAGGAAGAGAAATTGTAGCTTTAGCACATAAGAAACTTAAAGAGTGCTGGTATTTTAGACTTCCATATATTAGACCAAATGTATGAAGTATTCCTCCCCAACATAAAAGATAAATTACTTGTCATAAATTATCCTATAAAATTACTCATTATTATACCTAAATTTGTATCATACAACCCATATTCTCTGATGACAAGGATAAACATTACACCTTTGGTTTGTTCTGCTCTGTTCATTTGGACTGCAATGATTTCATTCAAAAGTAAAGCTTCCATAATGCTGCTACCAATTGTCATGGATGCAGATTTCATGACCTGAGAAAGAAATGTTTTTAAAAACAGTATTTCTACATATTTTTTTTAATAATTTGCATAGGACAGTTATTAATATAATTACATTTTCCTGACAATTTGTAATCATCACCTACTCCTCCTATTAGTTCACATTATCATTTGACCTTATAAACCAAGTTGTTGCAATAATTGTCTGAAGTGTTTTTTGCTTAGCGCTTGTGATGGTTTGTGAATAAGGTCACTTATGAAAGCCATTGGATTAGTAAACTTTGTCCTAGTTAGAATTAGCAACAGATGTGGAAAATAACTAGAGGGTTGTAAATATTTAAAATGAGTCAAATTTATCATTGTTCCATTAACTTTCACCAGAATACAATTAACTATTTATTTCAATAGAAGGCAAGAAGGCATTTTTATCTATACAGTGTGAATGGCATCCTGTGAAATCTGATAAACAAATGAAATTGGTTAGGTCAAAAGGAAAACACGGAAATAGGTAAGTAGGTTATTTGGGTATTTAGAAATGTCCCAATGTACCTTTGTCCACATATACCCCAACCGTATTTATTTTCTGATATAAATTCCCAATGTGTAACAGCCTCTTAACACATAGCCCTAATCCCTAACACTAGGTTCTTGGAAGAAAGAGTAGAAGAGCAAGCAAGGCTGCCAGGGGACTTCTGACTTTAGCTGGGATAAGAAAGAAGTCAGAATTACTATATCTTAGTGCTAGGGGAATTTAGGAGCTCTGGTAGCATAGTGCCTAAGGTACTTGACTGCTCACCAGAAGGCTGGCAGTTCAAACCCACCAGCCACT